TTATGACTTTTTAAGCAGAACTTGAAGCATGTGCAGTGGAGAGAGGAAGCAATCTTGTGATTTACACCTGTCTGATAAAGTGAGTGGGAAGATTTTCATTTTATTACACCTTTACACCCATGTCTGGAAATATACCTTGTTTGCTCCATTGTGTAAAATATCCTCTGGTGAACTTGGCTTATCTTACGGCTGAAATGCTTGCTTATTCTGAGTCATGAGCAAGGATCCTGATAAACATGCTGTGGAATTATGGCATATTTATCTGAACAGGAAGGTAGAGCCTGGTGTAACCTCTTCACTGGCCTCCAAGGTGACTGATTGAAAAGAAAAATGATGAGGGAAGCCACATATAAACAGTAAAAATGGGAATCCTTTTTCCTCTGGCTGCTTTTCCTTCAGCTGGCCTTGAGGAAACTGGTTAGCCCTTTTGGTTCCTGAGCCTGTCTCAGGTCCTGAGCTGAAATCCTGGCAAGGAGATGTTCCCACACCTGTGTGCACAGACACATTTCTGCTGCTTTCCCTCAGCATGCTGAGTCAGGCTATCATCTGCAAGAACCCAAATGTGTGGTACCTGATATTCTCCAACAGGCAAAGATGAGTGGGGTGCAACCCCCAAGGGGCTGAAGCAGACCGGGTTTGGGTGACAAAGCACAGGCCCAGCAGGATCCCATTGGCCTTGAGCAGACACTGCTACACGCCAGGAAAGAGCCTGTGCAATGAAAGGTGTGGGGTGGCAGGGAGGGAGAGCCAGTGGCTGCAGAGAGGATGAGCCTGGGGGAGCCCCAGGGGCTGCTGGCACTCAAACCCCGTGTGACCCTCACCTTCTGCACCTCGGCAGTGGGAGGAAAAGCTGAGGGTGTGAGAATGAACAGAACTGCAGATTTAGGATGGCTTTCTCAAAATGACAGATATAGGCTGTCTTCAAAATGGTCACTGCTGGTCTGATTTTTCCTATAACATGTGAAACTCTTTGCTACTCTTTTTTCTTTTCCTTTCACTCTCCATTGTTTATTCCCCCTCATTCTGATTTTCCCTTCTTTCCCCATGTGTCTATTTTCTTCTGCTGTTTCAGCTGCTGTTTTAGCAATGAATACACATTCCTCTGGTTGCTGTATTCTACAGTTCCAAGCACTACATTTATTTATATTTGTTCCTGGGATCAAGATGATAAAAATAGCTTACAGTCCATGGAAATACTGAGGGAGGGGAGTATAATGTATTGTGCATTCCTTTAATGAATTGCCAAAAGGTGGAAACCCTTTTGATTGGAATTGACTTTTCCCATGTCTCAAATTCAGCCTACAGCTCACTAAGTTGATCTGGAGGTCTGGGAAAGGACATATTTCATTGTGTACATTTGCCACCTTTTAGAAAGGAAAAGAGGAAATCTGGGAGAGGAAGAGGGAGATAAAAGAAAAAGATGAAAGTGGATTTGGGAGGAAGAAGAACGATTAATAAAGTGAAGGGGGAAAAAGCCAACAGCAAAAAACCAAAAATATGGGAACTGTCTGAGAAAAAGCTACATGTAATTTAGTGTCCTGACCTGGAATATAATTGTACCATCTGTGGGAGAGGGGAGCCTCAGCATCTCTAACTGCCCCATAAAGTGGTCTCACTCTGATTTAAAAAATCCACTATTTATTTAATCTCCAAAACTGAGCCTTTCTAATTCTTGCCATCTTCTGCTGTGAACCAAGCCCTGCCATTGTGTGTCTGTGCAATGTGCTTTGAGCTGCCAGTGCCTGGTTCCCTGTTGCAGTCTCTGCTGTGGGGTCTCCAGTGGGCAGAGGCTCAAGTAGTCCCCAAATTCAGGGCTGTGGAGATCCCACACGTTCTCCTGGCATGGAGAGTGGAAGAAAAGGCTGGTGTAGGCAGTCCCCTGGCCCTAGGTGTGAAGCTGACTGGTTTGCACCCTTGCTGCTTAGGGCTATCACGTCTTAGCAGTTTTGTCTGCAGGACAAGTATTTGGTACAATATGATGATGCTGCATCAAGTGAGATAACAAGCAGGGTGGATGATTGCTGCCCAAGCTTGTTCACAGGCACTCTTTTATTCAGCAAGAGGCGCATGTCTGTACGGATCTTAAACCTAGGTTGGGGTTTTCTGCACAACTTTATCACGGAACTGCGTAACTTTATCGGCGCTGTTAGGAAGGATGGTGCCCTCAAGTGTCTGCAAGCTGGGTGATGTCACTGCCTCACTGCTGACAGTGTTCCAAGAAGGATTTGAGGTTTATGAGTGATTATCTGATGCACTGGCAGAGGTTATCCGGGGTGTTGCAGTAAAGTTTTAACTGTCCAGGATTCAGTCAGAGTAGGTATTTATCAAAACGTCTCATGCTGTCATGCAGGCATGGATAAGTGGTAGTCTAGTGCCACATGTGTACAGGGAGTGTATGTGTTTTCCTTTCTAAACTACATGGTTTTCATTCCATGTCCAAAATAGCTGTGACATTTGGGCTGCTAAACAGAAGCTCCAAATGAAGATGCCTGTGATTGTAATTCAGTTGTACTTCTATATCTCCATTTTCTCTGCTCCCCTTTCATCACCACTTCTGCATCTGCTCTTTCCCTGGCTTGCTCCCTTTACACTCTCCCTCTTTCTGTTCTCTGCATCTATTTTTACTGCTTCTGCTCTTCTCATCAGTCAACATCTTCCTTGGCTTTTCCCAGTAACAAAGAACATAATTTTTTACTCCATGCATAGGACAGAATGTTTAAAAGGATGACCCAGAAATCTGTTCTCAAAAATTTAAAGTCATTCTTTCATGAGGCTACAATTACAGGCTTTGTGTACAAACCCATCATCTTCCTGTCCTTAGATGTGCTCCACTCTCACAGCAAGTGAAGCTGAAGTTCCAGGAAAAGAATGTAGAAGCCAGGAATTGCTTGCTGTAGAATAAATGCAGTAATGCACACTCTCATGCATCTGTCACTGTGATATGTTAGATTTCTTTGACAAACTGGAGTCTTGCAGTACACTGACATTGTGGCAAATACTGATACACTGTTTTTGGACAGAGAACTTAAAATACAGGCTAGCACTGAGAAACCAAGGTTGCCGTGACACCACGTATGCCAGGGGGTGGCAGTGATTTCACTGAATGAATCCTTGCCTCTATGACCAGCAGTGTAGCTGCAGGGAATGTGAGGGAGAATCCCAGATGTCCTCTGCCCTGAGCTCAGCACTGGTCTCTCAGGTTTTCTGGTTTCTGGTCTGACAGACTGTGATCCATGTGCTGTCCATGACCAGAGCATAATGGACAGGGATGTGTGATATTTTGACAGTGGGCTACTAGACCATGCTTTCTTTTAGGGAAGAAAGTAACTCCAAAAGCAAGGTTGCAACAGCGAACTGAATTCTCCCTCAACTGAGTCTAGCTCCACTGTTTGGCAAAGAGGTGGCCCAGTAATTACACCAATGGGTTTGTGAAACAGGAGGAATGCTGGGCACAGCTACATTGGTGTATGGCATTCAGGGGGCTAACCCTCATGATTCTGAGGTGAGCTAATATTCTCTCATGTAATAGTGGAAGCTGTCCCTTCCCACGGCAGCAGGGCTGGAACAAGATGATCTCCAAGGTCCCTTCCAACCCAAACCTTTCTGTGATTCTATGGTAATATTCAGCAGGGTCAGAACCAATATTTTTTAATTGTGGTAAGGCTTGGAGAGTAGTGGGTATTTAATACACCCTTGGTTGGATCTGTGAGAGCAGCACACAGTCTGAATATCAGGGTCTGTCCCTATTTCTTGTCTTTATGGCATTCCTTACAAGACAATTTCCTCCTCAGTCACTGGAAGCTTTTGGAATAAACATCACCTATGACTTCTCAGCATGATTGACCCCCCAGTTAGCCCTGCTGGAATTAAAGAATTTCTCTTGTTCGAAACCAGTCATCAGAGTGTTCCTCCTCTCCACCTGGACCCAAAGTGATGCACTCATGGCCTCTAAGCTTGAGTACTACAAAATAGCATAACCAGGCATCCAAATTCCCTCAAAAGCGTATTCTGATGCAAACACAGGAGTGCACCCACCTAGAAATCTGCATCTTTGCGGACTCACATCACAGCACCAGTTTTCATGCCAGATAGCCTGAATAGTAATTAAAGCTTTCCTTGAATTGCACCTGTTTTTAAAGTTTTACTTTATTTCAAAACCATAGACACCCATAGTCAAGGCTGTAGGTAACCAAAGACAACGGTTTGCAGGGGACATCTTTTGATAGGTGATGTCTCTCTGCTCCTTCTCCCAAGAGAATACAGTTGCCATGGATGTCATGACCCTGTGGTTCAAAAAATCCCACTATTGAACCTCTGATTTGATTGATGTTGTTCTGCACAAGTTATGCTCACATGCACACAAAATGCTCCCTCTTCCCTTCTCCTCCTTCCTCAAACAGCTGAGTAGAAAAGTGACATAACTTGTTTTCCCTTCATTTTTGAGAAAGAAACACTGTCATTTATCTTTTAAATATCTGAGAGATTTTGTGGACTTTAACAAGGTCGTGTAAAAGCCTTCTTGAAGAGGTAGATCAAACTTTAAGAAAAAAAAAAACCTTGGATTTTAGGTTGTTGCACTTTGTGACCCTTACGTTATTTACACTACAGAAGGAAAAGGCCCATGTGAATTAGGTGTGTACAGATGTACACACCAAGGTGTGCTGAAGCAGTGCCTTGGAGAAGTAATCAGACTTTGCCAGAGAACTAATTTCTATTTCTGGAAGGAAACACTATAGATCTTTTGAAACAACTTTCTTTCTGTCCCTGCCATCCTGCAGAGAGCCTGCATCACTCACTGATGCTTTCTGCAGCAGCTCCTGGGCTCTTTCCCATTTAACTCTGCTTTACCCATTAACTTATCGCAGCCGCTGCGGGAGCTGCCCTTTGCGGCTCGCCCGTCCCGAAGGAGTTAACGGGGTTCATGACATAATCTGTTTGACATTCGGGATGGATAGCAAACGCACGCCCCTCTTCTCCCGCAGCCCGTGAGCCCGCACTGCCCGGGGCAGCGCCAGCCGTGCCGCCGGCTGTGCCCGCATGTCCGCCCGCAGCCGGGCCCCGCTCCGCCTCCGCTCATGCCCCGCCGGCCCTGTCTGTCTGTCTGTCTGTCTGTGCACGTGAGAGGAGAGGAGCGTGGGGAGGCCAGACCGTCACGTTCGTAGGAAGTGCCGGCAGCCGGTGCCAAGTGTGAGAGAAAACTCTGCCGTCTCTCGGGCTGCTGCAAGCGGACAGACCACCCCACATAATGCCATCTTTTGATGAGGTTTTGAAGGAGGCCGGGGAATTTGGAAGATTTCAAAAGAGAGTCTTTTTCCTCCTCAGCCAGACAGGCGTAACATTTTCTTCCCTGTTCGCCAGTGTAGTTTTCCTTGGGCGAGCACCAGGCAACTTCTGGTGCAGGATCCCCGGGGCAGCTGAACTGAGTGAACGATGTGGCTGGACCCTGGAAGAGGAACGAAACTTCACGGTACTGCCCCTGCACCTGGGGAACGAGTCTGTCACTGGGGAGTGCGAGAGGCTGGATGTCACCTGGGACGCCTCTGCCAGCTGCGCCAGCCCGCTGGCCCGCTATGGCAATGGCAGCTCGGGCAGGCTGCCCCTCGCCCCGTGCCACCACGGCTGGGTCTATGAACAGCCCCGCGCATCCATTGTCAGCGAGGTAAGGAAACACCCGCCCTCTGACCGCTGCTGTCTGTCCTGCTGTGGGATTGCAGCAGTAAAATGGGATTGCCAATGTTTTTTTTTTGTTTGTTTTTTTTGTTTTTTTTGCCGGCTGGTTTTCCTTTCCAGTGTATTTAACTTAGAGTCACAAGCAAATCCAGGCAATGAGTATGATGAAGTGCTGGCACGAAGCTTTTAGGGAAAGGTGAACTGGTATGAGAGGTGGCTGTTCAAAGTCAAGAGCCCATACAAAGTCGAGTACCCTGCAGAGATATTGCTCTATCTGTAGAGAAATGTCAGATTAAAACAAAAAATAGTTAAATCCTTGCAGCTGAGGCTTCAGGTGCTCAGTTTCAGGCTAGCAGCTTTGGTGGTGTGAATTCCAAGTGTACTCTATGACCAGGATCAATGTAGATTATCACTCTTCTGTATTTTCAGTATTGAACATGTAAGTTTGCAGGTAATAAAAAACAACAGGTGGCAGACTGCCTATCTGAGATCTGGCAGGAGTCAGCAGAAGTGATTGTGCTTACTAAAGAAAAAAACCCAAAAAACCAAACACACGTTTTTCTCCAAAGCTAACATTCAGCTTTTCCTGAATATCGGTGTCAGAGAACAGCAGGCTGTTATCACTAGTGGTAAGCACTTGCAAATACAGTGATTTTTTTTTTTTTAATGAGGCTGCGAAAGGCCAGTGAAGATGCTTTCCTAGGAGATCCTTTGTGTAATCTGTAATTGTGCCATGGGTGTGCTGTGGTCTGGCTTCAAAATACAGTCTGCACACTAGGAGTGTGTATTTTAGGGTCATTCTGGCAGCAATTGTCGCTCATGCAGTGATGAAAAATCCAAAGTGTTCTTAGAGGGATTGGCTCAGAAATAATCAAGGTGAACTGCAAAATGTGCAGTTGAGGGCTCTGGTTCCTCCCTGTCTCGTGAGCCTCCTGCTGTGCTCTTTAATTCGGTGCTTGCACTGGAGCTGTGTGCTCCAAAACAGGGAGCAGGGCACAGCAGGCAAAGCCCTGAGCAACCACTGACACAGGAGATGCTAATCCCATCCTTCCAATTCAGCATCCTTCTCCCATCCAGGTGGAGCTGCTGTATCCTCTGCCAGGCCTGGAGCTGTCCTGAGCAGCAGCTTTGTTCCCTGAGTGTGCAACCTGAGCAGCTTTAGGGCAGGGTCTGTGCCCAGGAGAAGAGAAATCAGAACACGCGACTGACCCTCGAGCAAAGGTTCAGATCTGGCTTTCGTGTACGATCTGTGAAATCAAGGCTGCTCCAAGGGCTGCAAATGGCATGCAGGGAGTTGGTGTCAAACTTTGGTCCCTAATAATGATGTGTCTCTGCCCACAGAGCGTAAGGCAGGGCTGGATGGGCAGGGAGGGAGGACAAATGGTGCCTGGGAGCTGCAGCCTGGCTCTGGAACAATCCATAAGACATGGAGCGGGTGGGAAGTTTATATTGCTGCCTCTAAGGCACCTCTGCTGCGGGACTGCAAGGAGTTAGACCTTAAAAACAAAAATATAGAGATTCCTTTTCTGTTGTTGCCCCTTTTTTCCCCCCTTCAGCCTTGCCACAGGTGAAGGCACGTGAGCTGTGTCCATAAGATCATGCTCAGAGTCCATTTATGGCAGCACTTTGTGTATCTAACAGAGCCACTATGACTTTCCAGCAGCAATGGGTACAGCTGTGGGAAAAGGAAACCAGTATTTGTCTTGCAGCAATAAATGGGAGAGAAAGGTTCAATGTTCTCAGGCAAATACCTCATCCATCTTCACTTTCTTGCTCTTCTCTGCTGAGGAGAGCTTTCAGGGTCAGAGAAGGGAGGAGGGATGAAGGGATGATTGGGCAAGCACTCCCACCTGTGCTCTCAAAGGTGCTTATTGGGAAAACCCTGGAGTAACAGTCTGTAAGGTTGGGACTGTCTCTCCCCTGTGCCAGGGCAGCAGGTCCTGCCACTGGTGTCACTGTGACTCCTAGAGACGCTCTCACTGGCCAGGTCCACCTCAGATGGAGGCTGCTGGGCTGTGACCTGTGCAACTTGGAACCTCTTCCCAGTTTTGCAACATTTTCTGGACAAATCATATCCCACGAGGCTCAATTTCTTAATCTGAAAAGGAGGCTTGTGGCATGCATGTCCTGACTCAATTGCTCTGAGATCAGCTATTAAAAGGGGCTTGATATCTTATTAATGAGTTATACATCCAGCAAAGACAATTTATATCCCAGATTTAATTTAGTCTCTTTTTGCCCAGCAGAGTCTCTAACAAAGCGTGACTCAATTTAGGCTCTGTTTAATTAGCTCACCAAAGACTTATTTTCTTACCCATCTGCTTGTAAATGCTTCATTTTGTCCATGATTGCAGAAATGTTTCTTTCAGCTAAAGATTTCTGGCATGACTTGTTGAATCAGCAGTGGAAGTGACCAGGGAGACAAAGTCAAAAGGAGGAGTTGCAAAACAATCTCAGTATGTGTGTTTAGGGAGAAAGAGAGGACGGGGGGAAAAGTCGGTGTACTGAAGGAGTTCTTCCAGGCTCATGACAAGCACAGGTCCAGTGTGGATTTGCAGTGTGACAGAGGATTCAGAGGGCAAAAGCAGGCATATAAAACTTCTCTTTGGATAGATGTCATATCACACAGGAGGTCTGGCAGCCGAAGCACAGGCTATTGCAGTAAGTTCTGAGCACCCTTCAGAAGCTAAATCACGTGGCTGATTTGTCAGGAGTTGTGAAACAAATGGCTCTGTGGTACCTGACTTCACTGCTCACGTTGCTCACTGGCCATTCTCTCACCTTTGTTGTCTTATGCAAAGGTGTTCACAGTAGCATCAGCAGAAGGAAGCAAAGGAAAACAGGGGAGTGGGGATTGATACAAAGCACACACTTCTTTGTAAGTCCTACTTGGGGTGCCTGCTGCATCACCTGCTGCTGCAGGACTCCCAGGTCTCAGTGTTGGGAGTACAGTGAAGTTCTGGGAGAATGTACAGGACTTTCCTCCTTCAACATTTGAGGAGAAGAGCAAATTATATTAAGAAATTGTCACAGAAGCCACACATGGCAAAGCCAGTTACCTTGTTCTGCTAAAGATTCCCTCTTAAGATCTTTTGGGGTCCAGTGGGCTCTAAGAATAGGTCCCTACCTCTGCAGTGACATGGCCAAGGATCTCTGTGCTCCATTGCTTTAGGTCAGGCTTTTCTGTGAGGGCAATCCAGATTTGAGAAAGTTGTCACTGGTGCTGCACACACAAACCTGCACTGTGTTAGAGCTGAGCAAACAAGACCTGGGTTGACATAAAGGTTTCAAGATATCATTTTGAGACATAGCTGTGTTGAGGTGGTGGAGCTGTGCAGAGGACCTTGGCCCAGTGCAATCAGCTCTGGTTTAATTGAGTGTGTCTTGCATATCTCCCTGTGAATCTGCATCAGCAGCAGGATGGGAATGCAGAGGCTATTGAGATTTTTGTTGGAGAGGGAAGCTGACAGGGTAAATAATCAAGGTAAATCAATTCCTGACTCACACCAGCTGGTGCCATCTGAAATGATGCTGATCCCAGAAGGTGGCTGGCACTGCTAAGGAGGGAGGGCTGGTGACAGCAGAAGCCTCTCAGAGGGAGAAGGGAAGGGAAGGGAAGGGAAGGGAAGGGAAGGGAAGGGAAGGGCTGTGTTTTTGTGCAGCAGATGGAGATGGAGAAACAATTGATGTGCTGGGAGGCTGCAGTGGACTGGGGGGTCACAGCCTCATGCTCTGGCCCAGAGGTCTGGAGGGGAGCCCAGGTCATCCCCGGACCTCTGTAGCACTTGAAACAGAAAGTGTTTTGTCTGCCAGGTCCTGCTGGGTGAGCCTTGTGAAGGACCCACGTATCCAGGACATACAGAAGTCAATAAACTTAACTTTTCCAGGAAACTGTGCTGGAGATGGGGTCACTGACCTTTAAGACTGCTGGGCTTTGGCACTATGCACCATTATCCCTGACAGACAAATCAAGCACTTTGTGACAGAATGGCTGGAAATAGTGTGCAAAGGAAGAACTATTTTCTTCAGACATTGTTGACATTGGTGACTCCTCAAGGCATAGGCACGAGTTACAATTGTGACTGCAGTGAAATGGCCTGAGGTGGTGGAGGAAAGGAAGAGGGAGATCTGTATGGTCAGCAGCAGCTACAGCACAGATGGGGGCATATTTTAGGCAGCCTTTGTTGGCAGGAGTTGAGCAGAAGGTGTCGTTGGCCAGGGGCTATGTACAAATCACGAATGGGATGGGACTGCTAGGAACATGTCTTGAGCTGTTTTATTTTCCAGCATCAGTCTCATTACATGGTTATGACAATGGGAAGATGCCATCAGCTCACATCTCAGGCAGCAGACCAAGAACTTAATGTTACAATTTTAAAAGTTTTTTGACTAATCACACAAAGCAAAAGCATATTGACAGTAGCTCCATCCGACCACTATAAGCACACATACCTTTGGTTAAAATAATTCTTGCTTATTTCGAATACAATACCTGCTTGTAAGCCTTAAAACACAATACACAGAACTCAATTATTAAGCTTAGAACTTCCTAATATCTCGCTAGATATACTTTTCTGCAGCTTAGGGAGTTATTCTAGCCAAGTGTCAATACACAGACCATTGTTCTATTCATCCTTACTTTTCTACTTACATAATTTTTCTGCTAAGCAATTGTATGGCTACTGCTTAGCTCTAATCACAGTTCTGCTGTCTATGAGGACTGCCTTTTGTAGTTTTCTCAAAACTCTCTGATTTTATGGATTCCCACAGAAGGGACAGATTTCAATACGTCCTCTCTGCAGCAAATCTTCACACTGTAGATGATGCCATTTTGAGGATACTTTACAATACTTTGCTGCCGAAGTGTGAGGTCTGAGGTGGACAAACGGTCATCTGAGCATAGCCTATTGCACCTGCTGGGAATCAATCTTCTTCCTTCTCTGCTTGCCATCCATCTCAGAAAATACCAGTCAACATTTGCAGAGAAACCTGGAAGAAAAAAAATAATGTTTGTCTCATGGTTTTTAGTCCCTCAGAGAAGGAGATAACATGTCAGTCAAACTCAGGGTGGAAAAAGCACAGCTGATCCTTATGCTATCCTCCTCCAAGGGAATAAACAACTCAATTTACCCTCAAATTGTTGATCTAGTGTGACTGTTGTTATTGGCATGGCAGTATATCCTGTCTTATTTTCAAAGTCATGGTAGGATTAATATTAATTAGGGGAGGGAAAAGGGGAAAGGACACACAGAGAGCAGAGGAAGCAGCAACTGCTGAATTTCTTGTGAAACTCTGACTAAGATTTCTCTGTATGAGAGGGGCTGGAGCAGTCGCTTGCTGGGGTTATGCCAGTGGGGCTGTGTTTCTTCCACTGCCATCAAACCTTGCTACTAGTTGAGAGTTCAATTTTTATTCTTATTATTTTGAGGACAGTTGCTGGTTTTCCCCCATTAGGAGATGAAGAATTTCTCTACCCCCTTATTGTTTTGTCGCTGAAGAGACAGAGAAAAAGGAGAAGCACAGAAAAGGCCTTTTGTGCTAGGACACTCAACAGGTGATCCCAGTGGCAGGGACACAAAGTTCATGGGCTTTTGGTGGTGCACAGGAGAGGAGGGAAGCTTACAAAGTTTTCAAAACTAACCTGTCCCTCAGGCTCTGAGCCCCAGTGCCCTGGCAGCAGGGTAGTGGCTGACTCCTCTTGTCCTGGTAAGTGCTCAGCTTGGAACAAGACACGGAGAAGGACAGTTGCTTCATTCTTGAGCATTCTGCCAGAAGCTTTAACAGAAAGCAAAAAAAGAAGATAATTTCTCCCTTTACCACTGTATGCACTTGCAGAGGGGTTTGATGCAGCAAGGATGTAGGAAAGATAGCAGTTTGAAAGGCCAGTGGACAGGAGAAGAGGAGAAGAACTGCCCAGCAACAACTAAGGAACATGTAGCAACAGTCAGCATCTCCCCAGGTTTTCTTAAACTATGAATATCTTACTGAACCATTTGTCACTGGCAGTGAAAGGGTATACCAAGCTCTTTTTGGTCACTTGTATGAATGTCATTTAAAACGTGTGCCTGGGCTCTGGACATGCTGCTGCAACTGGGCTGGGGAATCACTGTAACATTCTTTATTGACCCTAGAGTTTAATCCATTCTTTGTAATTTAATTGTAACAGGCAGTGAAGCTCTTCAAAACTCCTCCCCAAGGGTGCTACATTTTGAGGAGCTTTTAATGGCATGTTGTGATTTAAAACAATATATTTCTACAGGGATATGTCTGCTGAAGTGAATAAAGGTCACTCAAGTACCAAGAATTACAAGTTTGTGGTTAGTCTGCAGGTCAAACTGAAATGGGAAATGTTGGCTTTGTTCCAAAGCCATGAAGAAAGGAGAAGTTGCCACAGTTCCATATTTCCCAGTCATTAGTCATGTACAAGTTCATCCAGTTGCCACTCCTTCTTACAGTGATTGCACCACTAATGAGCTCATTCCTTCTAGTCACAGCGCTGCTCCTGTAAATCTGAGCATCTCCTTGGTGTCCAAGCCAACGTTCATGACAGGGATGTATTTCCAACCAGCAGTGGCTGGCTGCATGGACTGCAAGGCTAGCAGGGAGGACAGAACTGGTTTTTTTATCTGTTAGAAGATAGAAGAAAGTCTGGAAGGAGCTGGTTCCTCTCTTTGCTGGCAGTACCTCATTTCTGCTTACAATTGCAGCTCATTGTCAAGGCTAAGGGAGAAGTAGTGAGGAAATAGATTGCTTCCCAATTTGGGCAGTTTTTAGTCAGCTCCCTAAATGGAAAGGATGTGTGTTCAGGTGCACAGTGGCTTGTGTCCTACAGTGGATAGAAATCCTGTAGGTGGGGCCAGGACTGAATGCAGAGGTGAGTTGCAGGGCTGTGCTGGGTGCCTGCACTAGTGCAGTGAGGGGCTTGGCTGAGAGCACAGCAAAGCCAGGAGGAGGATGTGCCCTTAGCTGGGGCTGGCCAGCTGAGCTAAGTCACTTGCTTAGTGACTACCTTGAGGCTACCAAGCTCTAACAGGGTCTGTTGGGGTGTAGCCAGCCCTGTACAGAACAACAAATAGGCTTAAGATCAGGGGAAGAAAACCCTAAGGCTTTACTTCACATTTTCATATCCTTCTCTCCCTGCCCTCTGGCCCTGCAATAAATGTTTTAGCTTTTTAGAAGTGCAAACATCAGCCTGTGCATGGACAGGTGTATGAATGTCCAGAAAGGGAGAGGAGGCACCACGCCACTACCTTCTGTGGGGGCTGCTAGCAAGGAGCGTGGGAGGTGTTTGGGAGGGGTGTCATACAGGAGGACTAAGGGCTAACTGGAGGCAGTCTCAAAACCTGGGTAAACTGTTGCAGATGTTTTTTGTCCACGGGATGCATACAGGGATAACTTTCATTCCCAACCCAACCAGGTCACAGCTGGAGCAGTGAAGTGGGTCTGACAGGCAGCCTGGATAAAGAAAAGGTCTCTGCGGGGTGTTCAATTCTCTTTTAAAGGTTACATTCCCCTCTAAAGGTTATGTTTGCAAATAAAAAAAAGACATTAGCAACGTGATGACTTCAATGCTAGGTCAAGCAAATAGAAGTGCTTATCTCTATCAGAATTTATTGAAATACTTAGAAAGTGACAAAGTGCAGGGCTAACTTAGGAGAACAGTTAGTGTACTGTCACTAATCTTTACAAAGAGCCTGTAGCTCCTTAGAACCTGTATGGTGCTGTTTCCCAGAATATATACAATATTTCACTACAGTCTTAGTGTAGAAGTAGTTGCAGCTGCAACATAAATAATAGGAAATTGCTGTACAGATGAAAGAATCCTCTCTGTTAAAGATACTTTCCCCTTCCTTTCTGACATGTATTTGTTCTCCTGCCTTTTTTCATGATAGTTTATTCCTTGCTTGTTTACAATAAAGAGAGATAAAATAATTTTTTAAAAGATAGGGTTTTTTTCAGTTTTTGAAAAGGGGTCAAGGAGAGTCCCAGCATCTGTCATCAGCACAGGCAATTTCATTGTGATTTTGAAAGATCTTCTTTTAATGGCCATTCTCATAAATCCCCACTGTTTTCCAAAGATACATCTTTTGATACCATTTGCTAGCATTGCCATAGCTTCAGAAAGCAAGAGGTTAAGCAGCATTTGAAATTTGAAAGTGCTGCTCTACCTTCAGTCTAATTTCAGAAGGCATTGCAATTGCCCTTGAAGTATGACAGCTGAGAGCAGGTTTTATTCTTCTCAGAGGTTTCTGCAGCTCTTGCTCAAGATTTACAGAAGTGGAAGCTAGGTGCTCACAGCTTGACTTGGCTGACAGGCGGCCAGTCAGGTTCCTTGGAGTAATGGGGTTGACATCAAAGCCATGACTTTGTTTCAAGGCAGTGGAGGTGGGATATCTACCAGGCTAGAGACCTGTGAGGTTCCCCTTGTATGTCCTGTGTGATCTGAGACCTCTGAGATCTCAGGCCCAGAAAATACTCTGGGCATTACAGCACGCAAATGGGCTGGGATGGAGCTCAGGCCCATGACACAACATTTTAGGGTCTGGAGAACTGTGAATGGCTGAAGAGGCTGCTGTCTCTCTAGCCCACCCTGTGCCCACTCTGCTCAAGCAGAGTGCTTGAGCATTGGTGTTGTCATGTACTGGTGAGCACAAATGTGGCACATTGTGTGTGCCTCAGCAACCAGCACCTTGCTGACAATTAAAAAATTTCTTATAGCTCACATCTGAAAGCAAAATAATCTCTCTAGGTCAATGCTGGCAGCCGCTGTTGTCTGTGGCTTCCTTTGGTCCTGAGGTTCATTGTTGCAAAGATTGTCCACGTATGGATTGAAACCTCCCAAATCCCATATGGTCCACAGTGGTTAAATTTCTTTATTCTCCACGAAAAACTGAAGTAATTTCCCACGCCATGCTGCCTATAGAATTACTTCAGTTTTAGTTTAATTCTAGTTTTAGTACCTAGTCCCTTCCTTCCTCTCAACCACCTTCCCTTTCCCTTTGCCTTCTCTCATCCCCACCCCCATCCCTACTAGTAGTACTAGGGAGTTATGGATGCTGCAGTATAAGGAATAGAAAGTCTGGGAAAGCTTCAGCAAGAAAATACATATTCAGTGTGTCTGCAACTGACCTGAGATCTGTTTTCAGTTTCCTTGGAGATTACATGGTTTTGCTTTTATCTAGAAGGCACGAAGAAGAATAACTAAACTAATAGATTTCTATAAGACGCTGTTTTCACTGGCAAGAGCTGTGGACCATTATTCTGCACCAAACAAAGTCAGGACTTTGCCTTGGCCCCATATTTAACAGTGATGTTTGTAGAAGAGCGATTTGCTTTCCAAATCTGGACAATTGATGTATGAAAGGCAGCATCCTCTTGGCAAGGAGAAGCTCTCCCTGCTCATGACCACTTTAAGAGTGCTTGCTATGGCCCACTAGTGCTTGTTATTGAGCAAGCAAATTTGAGCTTCCCCTTCCTTTTTCCCTTCCTGTGTGGACCAATGCAGTTCTGTAATGCTTTACCCTGAGGGTGGCAAATGACCCAGCTGGGTGTTTATGCCTCTCCCTTGTTCCCACAGTATGATCTTGTGTGTGGCAATGCCTGGATGGTGGATCTCTCACAGGCCATCCTCAATCTGGGGTTCCTGGCTGGAGCATTCATCTTGGGCTATGCTGCTGACAGGTAAGGTATGAGTTCTGCTGTCCTTTGGCTTGTTGGGAAGTGAAACCACTCTCAGTCTCACCTGCAATAGGCATGTGTCAATATTTTGCAGGTGTACTTCTATCGGGATAAATGTCTCCAAACTGAGTTAACAAAACCCAGCCAATGTAATCTTTGCTTTGATCTGGGCTGGAAAATTTAGCAATTGTACTTACTAGACCTGATTGGAGCTTAAAATGCTATGAAATGAGCTTTTCTTGTGGTTTCCAAAGTTTTCTATGCACATCTGGACCCAGAAAGGGAAGAAAGACACAGAAACAAAAAGGAAGCATTCAGCGGAGCTTTCTGACTGATGTTTACTGAAGGATATTTAACAGGCACCATTTATGATTTCCACTTTCTTTTCCTTTTTCCACAGATATGGCAGAATCATCATCTACCTGCTCTCCTGCCTTGGGGTTGGGATATGTGGTATCATAGTGGCATTTTCACCAAATTTTACTGTATTTTTGATCTTCCGTTTTCTCCAAGGCATGTTTGGCAAGGGAACCTGGATGACATGCTACGTGATTGGTGAGACCTCTTACCCTCTTTTTTCACTTGGTTAGGGAAAGTGAGGGATTTTTGAAAGACAAAGACTCTGGCTGCATCTGCTTGTCATACTATTTTTTTCTTGGGAACAAAGCACTGGCTCTGGAGTCAGCAGACAAAGAGTAACCCAAATCCACCCTGGTTTATGCATTTGTCCTCCAATGATTAAGAGGTGAGGGAATGGATTATTTATATATAAAGATTTTGTTATTACATAGAAGATCACCAGGATGATAAAAAATCTACAGAGCAAGCCCCAAACAAACCGGATACACAAACAGGGACATGGTTTATTTTGGCCGTCTGAATGTTTTACACAGATGCTCAGAGGAGTTAGCTGCTTCTCCTCACTGGGAGGACAGCTTGGCTGGCTGCTTTCATTCTTTAGCTTAGTGCCAGGCTGGACACCAGGGTCCATATTAGGATTATTGTTTTGCTGAAATGGGAAAAGAAAGGAAATCTTTGTTATAAATAGCATCAAAGCAGCAGGGACACAGAATCTTTGGTAGATTATAATTTATCAGTCTATAGTCTATAGCAATGAAGTTCCTTGCACAGCAATCTTCCTTTTGATGAGGAAAGGGTATTGTTGTGGTGTCTTGAATGACTGCCAGGTTCAGTAAGGCAGTCATAAAGCATGGAAAAGCCAGACACTGAGGAAGGTATCCTGCAAGAGACGGGATGTCAGATTTACTTAAAACCGGCCATTTGGTGATCTACTGCTATAACCCAAAACATATTGATAACATCATTATATAGGGCAAAAGCTTGTAGCATTGCTGTTCTCTATGAGGCCTGTGACAAGTGTTTAAAATTTCTGGTGGAACTTAGATGAATGGGAGCAGAACTGCAACCAGACATAAACACTCACAGTGAGACCTGGGAGCACTGTGGTGATCTATGTGCAAACATACCAGTCTAGCCCTTTTAGCATCTAAAGCCCAAAAGAACCTTGTTTGTCTGGGCTAAGTTACACTGCTGAGCAGCTCCTGTTCAAGATCCAGGGAAAGGACCAGAAACTACTTTTCCTCTTACTTCCATGCACATGGCTTAATTTTAAACTGAGATCTTGAGACTTTGGCAAGTGCTCTAACCAGAAATATGTTTTATGACAGACCCAGGGCTTCCTTAAAATGGCTGAGCTTTAACAGAAAGGAATGCCTCAGATCAGGCTGCCTGACTTTAGGGAAAGATTCAGAGATCCTGAGAACCTCAAGAACACTGTATTACTGCAGACCTCAGCAAGGTGCCTGACTCTTGGATAGAATGATTCCTTCCAAATCCCTTCAGGGATCGACTCTTAATCTCCTGGGATCACTCAGAGTATTTGCCAACCTAACATCTTTTAAGAAACATACATATACAGATCATAGGTTTGTTTGCACCGGGAGGGTGGCTGCTATTAATACATTCCCAAAGCCCTTGATCTGTGTTTCAGGCTGCCCCAATAACCTCCCTCTGCTTTTACATACAATCCAGCTCTTTTGGGGACAGTGCTAATCAGCTATCTTTAGGCAACAGAGTTGCCCCTGAGCTATACAGAGGTGATGGATAATCAATAAAAATGGTCATGCTGTCATATCTCTCTGCATTGACAGCCAAAACAAACCATTGTTGCTTGTAAATTGGTACCTCCTTTAGCAAAATAAATAAATAAATTTAGAATAAAATGTTTTCTGTGTGCTGCAAACCAAGGTAAAGCCCTTTCCTTTTACTATGAAGGTGTTGCAATGGAGATCATTTTGGAACAAACAGGAGACACTTCTTCATGCACTGCTCACCTCAGTTGTGGATGTCATGGCCATGGGATATTGCCTGAAAAATGAGCACAGATTTCAGAGCTAATAGACACATTCACAAAATAAAGAATCCACCAAATGATTAAAAAAAGCCAAAAAACAAAACAAACAACCAAACAACAAAAACTAAAACTTTCCTAAAAAAAAACCCAACAAACCAGATTGGATTGTACCTGACCCTCAGAGCAACCTGCATGATATGGTTAAACTCTCTTCCCCACAGATGCCTTGTCCATATTACCTGCTGTGAGCAGCCTCTGCCTGAAGGATCCCCTTGTCTGGGGCATGTGCCGAAACTGCACCAGGGAGAGTGCTAAGGATTTCCCACCAAGCACGATCATGATGCAATCTCAAACCCCTGTTGTAGCCCTATGTGATTCACTTCTGAGTCACATAGAAACCCCTCTGGCTGGAGAAGGGTGGGTGAGTTGATGAGGAGATGTCACTCATGTTTGCCCTGGACAGCCTCAGTGACATGCCTGCTCTGCTGAAGACAAAATTCTGGGCTAGACAAAACTGTGGCCTGATACAGCATAGCCTTCCTTGTATTTCACCTCTAATAATTTATTTTCAACTTGGGTTTGTTTCTGTGTTATTTATTGTGGCTTTGTCTCTGCTCAGTGACGGAGATCGTTGGTTCCGATCAGCGGATGGTTGGAATTGTGATTCAGATATTCTTTACCCTGGGAATTATAATTCTCCCTGGAATTGCATACTTGATTCCCACCTGGCAGGGGATCCAGCTGGCCATTTCACTGCCCAACTTCCTCTTCCTGCTCTACTATTGGTAATGTTGCAGTCATTGCTCTTGTCATTATTGCTATTGCTGTTTGAGCACCTTGGGAGTCCTGCTGTGGCTCCAAGTCTCCAGAGTGGAGGATGTAGGTTAGGAAGAAGATATTTGCACATTATTGACTTTGTAATTTCTGATTCCTTTTTAGTGACTTGCAGACATACATTTCTCTAGTTTTTCTGCCCATAGTTTGCCTCTCTGATCAGCCACAACTGACCCTTCGCAGAACCCGGCGCTGTTATAAGGTTAACTTGATCAAAGTTGGTTTTTCCCATCAGCCATGAGACCCCACTTCTGCCTCCCATTATCTACTTAGTTAAAGTTTGACTTTGCCCTCAGGTCCCCTGAGCTGGGCAGTACAGCTGATGAGAAAGCAGAGCTCTAAGCTGTGTTAAACACCCATCTCAGTGCAGCCGTCCTGTGGGATGGATCCCGAGAGTTAGCACTCACGGAGCCTCCTCCTGAACACTGCTTGCTTTAACACTGCCTGCTGTGAGCCTTAAAACAGTGAATCATCTTAACCCTAGGCTAGCAGAAACTGAAGCACCCATCAGTGGTATTGCTTTGTGTTCAGTTTATAAAAGAAGTACATGTTTGTGTGTGTGCATCTTACAGTGATACAGCCAGAAGCTTCCTGATCTGCCTCCATGTGTACATTTTTAGTGTTGGCTTTCATTGTTGCTGTTCTACAGGAACTTTCTTTGCTTGTTGGTTATACTTTTGACAGCCATTGTGCAGATACAATATTAAAATTTCTGATTTTTCAGCTTTGCAGAGTATTGATGTAGTCTTTTTTTTCTTCTTTCTTGCTCACTAGGATCAAATATTTTACAGAAGCTGACTGGAAAAGCAGTCCTCAAAAGAGTTGTTTTGTCCCAAAGACTGAAAAATCTGTGTTTTGTGTTAACACAGTGTAAAAGATAAAAGACTTTGGTTTACTTATGATGTTATAAGGTAAAAACACTTTTGTGTTCTTACAGGGTGGTTCCTGAATCTCCGCGTTGGCTCCTGACACGCAAAAAGGGAGAGAAGGCATTGAAAATCATGCGCAACATTGCAAAACACAATGGGAAATTTCTCTCACCCCATTACTCAGAGGTACAGTCATACGTTTGAGCTAGAAGTTTTTTCTAAGCTTTCTTAAGCTTTGGAAGTTCAGTGGTGTTAAGATGCATTCTCTTTAAGGGATGGACAACATTCTTGAAGAGTCACACCCGAACAGTTTGTTGTCAGCCACACAGCTACTTTGTGATTGCAAGATGGGAAAAGTGAACTGGCTGGAAATATATGGGCTGGAAAAAAGTTTGTAAAACAAGGAATCTGGTTTTTCTTTTGTAACACTCCTACTTTAAAAACTTGTGGGAAATATCAGAAACTAACCTGAGGGGTAATGGTGTTTCATAGCAGTTGCCATTTTATCTGACAGAGTGAGTGGAGATAGCATGATCCACTTTCCTGGCTCCTCTTCTGGAAGTTCCTTTTATAACTCTAAGAGAAATTGAGGTTAGATTTTCAGTATAAATTTGCTTTCATCTGAACAAGGAGAAAATACACTGCAAATTTCACAACTGAGGAAACTCTATCTGAGATCACTATTCAGAAAGTGTTAGGATAAGTGTTAGACTTACAGTCCTATGGCCAGCAGTCGTGAAAGAACTTGAAAGGACTGATGCATTTAATGCAAATAATGCTGCTGTGACATTGCAGCATTTGGCTTGTCCTGTGTTGGTAGCAAGAGCTACCTCAGCTCTGGCTCTCAGAGCGTAATTACTGCAGCATTGGCCTTATGGTTCAGTGAGAACAGATGTGGTTAACCAAAGTGATCATTAAAGTCCCTTTCAACCCAAAACATTCCATGAGTCCTGTGCTGGCTGCAGCACTCCAGGTGTGGTCTCACAAGGGCAAAGCAGAGGTGCAGAATCCCCTCCCTCACTCTGCTGGCCACGCTGCTTTGGATGCAGCCCCTGGCCATACAATTGGCTCTCTGGGATCCAAGTGCACATTGCTGGGTCATGTCCAGCCTCTCAGCCACCAGAACCCCCCAGGTCCTTCTAGGCATGGCTGCTCTTGGTCTGTTCATTCCCAGCCTGTGTTGATACCAGGGTCTGCCTGGACCCAGGTGCAGCACCTTGTTAAACCCCTTGTTAAACCACATGAGATTATGAAAGGACCTAGAGCTGTTGGAGCGAGTCCAGAGGAGGGCTGTGAAATGATCAGAGGGCTGGAGCACCTCTCCACCTCTCCAGAGCAAAGGCTGAGAGAGCTGGGGTTTTTCAGCCCAGAAAAGTGACGTTTCCAGGTAGACCTTAGAGCTGCCTTCCAGTACTAAGGGAGAGTTACAAGAGAGCTGGAAAGGGACTTTTGTTGAGGGCATGAAGGAACAGAGCAAGGGGGAATGGCTTCAAACTGAGAGAGGGCAGTTTTAGATTAGATATTAAAAAGAAAATCTGCACTGTGAGATTGATGAGGCACTGGAACAGGTTTCCCAGAGAAGCTGTAAATGCCCCATCCTGGGCAGTGCTCAAGGCCAGGCTGGACAAGGCTTTGAGCAACCTGGCCTAATAGACAGTGTCCCCGCTCATGGCAAGGGAGCTGGAACTAGATGAACTCTAGTGCCCCTTCCAACCCAAACCTTTCTGTGATTCTATGAATCTAGAGTCTTTTGCAGGGGCATATACACCATTGTGATTCCCACATCCAGGTCAGAATTATGCACTGCCAAGGTGCCCCAAGTCATGTAGCAGGAAGTTTGTGCTTCTGCAACTTCCTCTCCATGTTCAGCCCTGCATTCCTACACCCACTTCCTCTCTAAACATCAGAATTTTCAAAGCATCATGTCTGAAAGATGTGTCCTTCCTTGTTTTTTGTTTTAAGTTGTATTTATTTTTTTTTTTTCAAAAGTATCCATGCTCATGACTTTAAGCCACACACAGCTGCAACAGTTTAACCTCTACACATCCAGATTTGTACTGGATCTGTTCATGGGAGCTTTTTAATATGGAATCTCTGTCATCCTTTTGCTGTGCCCAGGGGAAAGACAGCATCTCCAGGAAGTGCATGGATAGTGGATCAAGGGTATTTCTCACATTAACTGACATCAGACTTCTCTTTCATGAAGCAGCTCCAGAATTTCAGGCTAAGTGCTGCAGGCACAGGAAGAAGTGAGGCATTATTCCTCAATGCACTTGGGCTCAGATTTTCCAGTATGTCTGTATCAATTTCATCAGCCAAGTCTCTTACGCAGCTCTGGATGTTGCAGCTTTGGGTTTTTGTTGGCATGCAGAAACCACAGATGACCTTTATATGAAAAAGGATAAACATTTGTTGCTTTTGCTTTGTGAGTTATGACACTGGCGTAGGTCAACCCTAACCAGAACTTATACAATTAATTCTAAATTATAAACTCTTTTTTTCCAGTTGCTCATATTTATCCTATCATGGAGAGTTTTTCCAAACTAATTTTCTAATTCTTGGTCTCTGTCCAAAACTAGAATGAACTGCAACCCGCTGAGTAGAGCTGCTTCTTAAGATAATTGTGGATCAAAATCTGTCACTTTATCTACAGATTTTTTTTCCTACCCTATAGAACATATCTAGACATATATATTTCTTGCATCATTACATTACATATGTAAATGTTATATACATCCATGTATATATAAGCCTGCATGGCCCATGAAGAATTAAGCATGTGTAGAACTATGTACACAAAAATAATGGTGAGAAAACTGATACATAACTTTGCTGGAACATGAAAATGTGAGGGAAGTTATAAAGGGCTCATCCAGGGTTTTCAAATAGTGTATCTTTGGAAACATGGGCCCTGTCACTGAATTCCTGACTGCACTAGTGTGAATAGCAAAGCTCTCCTTGACTTCAAAGAACAAAAAGAGGATTTTTTTTCCCCTGCTAAGTGTTGACTCTCCATAGTGCTTTTTTTCTTCATCTATGAAAAAGTGCTCAGTCATGCTGGGGGTTTTTTTTGACTTTATTAAGACATAAAAATACAAGTGGCAGTTGTGCTGAATTTATCTTTAGTCCTCTGGAAATGTAAAACCATATTTGCACAAAGTCACAACTGATGGCTGGCAGCCTGTTCTTATAAACAGCAGACATGGCAGCTTTATAACCATATTATGAGAGAGTCCAAGAGCAGTGCAGAAACCCAGCAACCTCAGCCTGCCTCACTAAGGAGTCTGGCATGCAGCACAAGTGGCAGTGCTTTGAAGGAAACTTTTGGCTCTGGTTACAGAAGAAAAGTGAGAGGGAGTAGAAAGGAAGTTCAAACAAGTGTGGGGTTACTCTGTCTTACTTACAAAGCTTTGTGTCAGTCAGTTACAAAAAAGTCATGTGTAAACACATCCAGCCAAATCTCACTGAAAAGCAGCTGTGCTACCTTATGATATAATAAAACAAATAAAGGGTGAAAGCTTTGGACTCAGCCCTGGCTGAGCTGATGAGACCCTCAGGCAATGCCTTTGGCTTCACCTGTGTTCTCATCATGGATCTGCATGTTACCTCCAGCTTCTCTTTCTTGTCACTCCTGTCTCCCCTCTGGCCTGGGCTCCTGCACTCTGTGAGCAGCAGATGCTGTGATGATAGAGAGGGGTTTGCTCCTCTCCTTGCTCCTCCTCTTAGGCCTCCTCTCAGGAGGGGTCAATAATGGAGAGTTAAAGCAGCAAGGCTGCCTAAAGTCCTTCTGAAAATGGCACAGCAGGTTTAACCCCATGTTCCCCACAGCTGCTTTGAGAGCTGATAGCAATCCCAGCTGTGGTTGCCAGTTCTTGGGCAGTATCATGTTTGGTGCCTGCCTAAAACTGCCCCTGCCTTATCTTCCTTGTGTCTTCCTCACTTGCCAAATGACCATATGAATGAAGGGTTTTCACCTGGCTTGGTTCAAAACTGCTGGCCAGAGTTAAAAACAGCCTAGATCAATGTAACTAATCTATTTTTGTCCCTGCTAGTATTCTGGCCCTGTACTGCCTACAGCAATGAACTTCAATGGGTAAACACAGGACTGTGTGAAATCCTGCTCTTTTCTGTTAGTGTTAAACCTTCTAACCAGAAATTTCATTGAGTGTCTCATGGGTAAAAGGGTAAAAGCCCTGTTCAGCACAGCGTGTGTGTATTTTAGGACCCTCTGAATCTCACTGGTTGAATATTTTGTAGCACCCAAGCACTGTCACAGATCTCTTTCTCTCACTCCCCTTTTCTTCCTGCTGCCCAGCTTGCTGCCAGTGATGTTCCCAAGCCCATTGCTTACTGATCAGCCCCTCTCTCCCTGCTTCCCTAGGCCATTGTTTTGCCCTGTCTCCTCCTCCCTGGCAGAAGGCAATTTTGTGCCCAGTGGCCCTGATATGACAGATTGCTTGTTACCTTCCAAGAAAATCCAGGTCAACAACAAGGTGGAAATAATTTTTCCATTCTGAAGTTAAGATTGGAGATCTTTTAAATTGATTTTTGCACAATCATCTCATTAAGGAAAGCTCACAGCCATATCCAGTTATTGGCTCTCCCAACACCTGTGCACTGCTCTGGAGTGCTATGAGCAGCAAACTGCCTTGTCAGCACCTTTGCTCACTGGATTGTAATGTTGCTGAACACTGCATTTGCACAGAAACTCTGTCCCAGTGCCTGCCTGACTGCTGACAGCTGACTGCTGCTCACTTGTCTCCTCAGATCACTATTAGCAACGAGGAGGTCAGCAACCCCTCCTTTCTGGACCTGGTGAGGACTCCCCAGATGAGGAGGAACACTCTCATCCTGATGTACGCCTGGTGAGTGCCCATGTCATCCAGCTGGGTGGTGGGTCTTGAGGAAAGATTCCCTTGTGACTTTTAGGGTCTCTCCAGCTACTTGCAATCATTTGTTTGCCTCTCAACCTTTTTTTCCCTCTGCTGTTTAGGTTCACAAGTGCCCTTATCTACCAAGGGCTTGTCATGCGCCTGGGAATTATTGGGGGAAACCTCTACCTAGACTTCTTCATCTCAGCAGTCGTGGAGCTGCCCTCTGCTTTCCTGATCATCGTGACAATCGATCGCATTGGCCGGCGCCTGCCCTTCGCCATGGGCAACATCGTGGCGAGCATCGCGTGCCTCATCACTGCCTTCCTGCCAGAAGGTGATTCCCTTCCCTGGGACGGGCTCTTCAGGTCCATGGCTTCCCCGGAGCAAGGATAGTGAGCCACACAGAGCTGCAGATAAAAGTAAAAGCATCTGGTGATACAGGCAGCACCCAGTCATGGAGCAGCACACCTTTGCATGTAGTACAACACCTTATTTCCCTGGCCATGGAATAGCCATATCTTTGAGGGGTTGTGAACAACAGCTGGGAGTAGCCTTAGAGAAAATGTATATAAAAGCCCTGCACTCTCTGTAAAGGCAAATGCAAGGGAAAAATATACAAACATAATGGGAAAATACATTCCCTGACCTGGAGCACACTTAGTGATGTAAGAAGTCAGTGATTTTGGTGAGTCATCTTGGTAAGTCTTTTCCTTTACAAACAAAACAATGCAAACCACAACACAATGTAGGGGCTGTGGTTGGCATCACAGAGCTTGTTGCCAGGGGTTTGGACAATGCTAAGAGGCTGGGAGAAAGATATGGCTTTTGATTAAGCCATTCTTATCAGTTTCAAGGACACAGAAAAGGTCTGATATTGCACAAAGGCTTCCCAGCACTTCTCTCCTTTCTTTAAATTGTTTTCCTTACCATGGTCCTTTGGAGGGTTTTAAAATGATTTTTGTTGTTTTTCTTGTTTGTTTTCTTTTTTGTTTGTTTTCTTTTTTTTTTTTTTTGGGTTTTTTTTTTGTTTTGTTTTGGTTTGGGGTTTTTTTTTTAATCTCTAGGGAGGCATTTGGAGGTGCTTTGAATTGCATATAACCATAGGATTATGCTTTGCCTTACTGTAGCTGGGAACCAGCAGCTCAATGGACATCAGAAAGGCTTATTCCTTCCCAGAACTGTTCCTATCAAAGTGAGGGACAGTCATGGCCGTGCTAAGAGGTTTTATATTTCTCAAGGTATATGGGGCTGCCAACAGCCTTATCTCAGTAGGAGAGGACAGCCTTGGGATTAAGATACTTGCAGTTGGACACTTGAGGTCCAAGTCCTGCTTTAAAGAAGTCTGTTTATACAGATGGAAAAACCTGCAGCTCTCAGCTGTGAGCCCCATCACACTGTGTTGCTCACACAATTCCAGTCCCCTGGCAGGGGGAGGATCCACATGGACGTCACCATCACCTTGGGAGTCTGATGGAGTGAAGGGATGCCATGGAGATGATGTGGATTTGTTTTGTTATTTCCAGCCTTTGTTTTTCTTATATGTTTTTGAAAACAGAACTCTTCAGGGCAAAAGCAGTGTCTTGCAACATGGGATGAAGTTTGATGGTGATTTGTTTGGTTGTTTTGGAAGGGAAATAAACCCAAGTGTCTCATTTTTGGTTCAGAGAAAACTGAAATGTTTTCTTGTTCTTCCACTGAAGGTTTGAAAAAACACAATCACTGCCAGAGCCCTCTCCAGTGGCAGAGCTCCCCTTTGTGCCAAGTTCAGGCTTGTTGTTTCACTTGCCTCCCTCTGCCTAGTCGTGGTTAGACCATGCAGGAGGCTGTCCTCTCCCAAGAGCGTGACAGAAGTGCTTGTCGCGTTCCTTGTCATGCACTTCCAGAGAGCACCAAGATCTCCAGAGAGGAGTTGCTCACAGTGAGAGGGGCAGCTCTGCCCTGCTGTGTGTGGGTGGCCACTGCATCCCTGCTGATGTACAAGGGCTTCCTGCTGATGTATTCAGGGCAGTGGCTGCTCACTGGAGCTTGGGTGGAGCTGGGAGATCCAACAGGGCAGTGTCAGGTACAGCCTGTGCCAGGTGTGATGGAAGGGGAGGGGAGGATGACCAGGACTAGCATAATTAGGAGATTGTCCAGTGTGCAGTGACTAGAAAAATCACAAAGGGTAGGTGGACTGCTCTAGGGAGAATGATTTTACTGCAGCCTTCCTGGAGGTTTCTGAGATGTGTAGATGTGGCACTTAGGGACATGGTTTAGTAGTGGAGAGCAGGGCTGGGTAAATGGTTGGACTCAATGGTCCTAAAAATCTTTTCCAACCTAAGTGATTCTATGATTCTGTGCAGCTTTAGAGGTGCTTTCCTTGGGGTCAGAAGGCTTTGGGAGGTGACTCAACAGTGTTTCTAACAGCATAACATCTCTGTATAGAAAAATACTCCTTTCTGGAGCACAATTTGGATGGAAGTTTATGATGGTTATTCTCCCACCCATACTGTTATGCCCCACCAGCATCTTGAATCAACCAGCTCTAGTGATTTCTAATTCTCCAAAGCAGCTTCACGTGACATTTGAAAGCAATAAATGCTAGTACAGATTGATACCTAGAGCAGTGGTCTTTCAGTTTGGTTTGCAGTGTTCCTGTAGTATAATTTCTGCTGACAGGGTCTGGGGCTCTCAGAAATGCTTTGCTGGTGTGGCAGAGCACACTTCAGCAGAAGTGTTTCTTTTTGTATGAACAGATATCCCATGGCTCAAAACAACAGTTGCCACACTGGGAAGACTGAGCATCACGATAGCTTTTGAAGTTGTCTATCTAGTGAACAGTGAATTGTACCCTACCACACTGAGGTATGTCAAAAGCTCCCAGGAATCTTTCAGCTTTTCCATGTGCTTTTCACCATTTCCTATTTCACTGTCCTTTGGTTAAACTTCGTTGTCTCCAGAGTTTCCCACTCTGAATAGCCACTGCTTTATGTGGAAGGCATATACTGAAGAGATAATTATGGAGCTAAGTCTACATTCTACTCTTTAAACTGCAGGTTATTCTGTTTGGTAGCACCTCTCTAATATCTGTTACTTTTTGTCTTTTGCAGAAACTTTGGTGTTTCCCTGTGTTCAAGTCTGTGTGATCTTGGTGGGATCATAGCCCCATTCCTGCTTTTCCGATTAGCAGCCATTTGGTTGGAGCTACCTCTAGTTATTTTCAGTAAGATTTAATTTACAATATACTTTTGGTTGAAATATCCTTCTCCTAACAGAGCTTTTCTTTTGGGGTAAAAGTATTGGCCTTATCTCCCCTGCAGAGCAGTGCTTCTCCACCTTTATGCCTACAGCAAGAGGCTGAATGGCAAATGCTTGAAATGTGAGTTCTCTGCACAGTGTAGCAGAGCTCAGGTCTGCTTAGGTAACTCTGCTGAAGGAGCAGAAAAGAAACTATATGAAGTGCTTTAAGACTGAGAAACCTTTCAGCTAGGTTCTGTAATTGCATGGGAGTCTGTGACTAAACCAGACTTCTAGGAGGTAGACGTGACTGGAAAAAATCAAAATGAAAAGGATAGAATAAGAGGGGAAATTTGCACCAGTGACAACTTTAGCTGAAAACAAAATTGGAAAGACAAAAGACGTTTTAAAAGATTACCATTATTTCAAGAAAATACATAGGTGGAAGTACAGTGCTCACATTATCTAATTATTAAATTCTGCTGCTTCTGAGGCACATATGAATTCCCTCTGTCTTAAGTAAACAGCTACAAAATCAGAGGGGATCAGAGTGAACTATGCAACACTCATGGAACATTTGATTTTTTGCTCCAGCCCTTCTATTTTTGACTTAATAAATTTTGTGAATTATATCTCTGCAGGAAATTATTCCAAAATATCCATTCCTAATTCAGATTGTATCTGAATGCTGTTCCCCAAGGAGGAGTTTTTATTCTGAACCATATAATTTACTTTGGCTGTGGATAAAGAAGAGAGTATTCAGGAAAATCTCAGTGGTTTCCGGAAACACAGATGCATCTACATGACAGAGCCCTTTGAGACAAGGCAGATTTGTTCTGCATGAGAAATACCATCCTGGTTCCCATGCTGTTTTTACACATTTGCCCATGTGCACTTATCTCAGGTTTTTGAACTCTAAGATCTCCCTCTGCAGAGGTGAGGCTGCAAATGAGCTCCTAGCCCTCAAATGATTTTGTAATAGGCTAAATTCATGGTTCATAGAGGTATTTGATTAGAATAGGTTAATCAGAAATAGCTGACTCAATCTGAATAAACTTCTCAGTGGATAAATGCTGAAAATAAAAACAGTAACAATGTCCTTATTGCTTTTGTATTTCTTCAATGTCTATTGTAGGTATTCTTGCAGCTGTCTGTGGCCTCTTAGTATTGCTTTTACCGGAGACAAAGGGAATTTCATTACCAGAGACTGTGGAAGATGTGGAGCAGCTTCCAAGGTATGAGATGTATTTTCTTACTTATACTTGGGTGAGGTTTCCTGAGGATGCTCTCCTCCAACTTTACCAACTGTCATCAAGTATTGACGTTTTCCAGTGTCAAAGTAAATTCCCTAGTTGGGTTGATGCTATGAGCAGGTGGTATTTTTCTCATTAGAAACCTGAACTTTGCAATATCACTAAGGAAAGCTATTAAAAAATGTACAGTGGTAAAATCTCTATTTTTCTCATAGAGATACAAAGCTGTCCTATGCATCTCTGGAAACAAAAAGCAACAACAGTGCACAAGCGAGGTGCTGCAAAGTATAGCCTGTAACTCTCTGCTTGAGAAAACCAACTATTACCTCAGTAAAAGCATCCTGTGAAGAAGGGCCCCTTATCATGGATGCAATCCCACAATTTGTGAAGTCATTTATAGCTGAAGAGTTGTAGGCACAGCTTTCCCCACTCCTGGCACACAGCAAGCCACACTGCTCTGCAGATATGTGGGGAATATTTGCACCTTGGCTAAATAATTTGAGGTCCTAGTGCTGTAAATGAGTTTCAAGGAGAGGCTTTGAATATTACATTAACAACTTTTGCCTGATTCAATGTACAAACAAAATAAATAGGAAATTTTCTATGGAAAAAAATAATGTTTCAGTACTGCAGCTTGGACTACAATTTAAACTACATATTTTCCCGATTTTTCACACTTCTTCCCTTCTGTTTCAACAGTCATTTTGGAAAATGTGGCAAGAAACAGAAACACCGGGACACCAACTCTTATATTTGACTTTTGAAGGACAGCACTGAGCTAAGAACTTTGTTCCCATACTGGGAATTTGTTCTCCACCTGCCATGGCTTCAAAATTTGCTGCAGAATATGGATTAAACTTCACGTTTTCCTTGTAAGCACAAGGACATTTAATACAAGTAGTGTATTTTTCTATGAATATGGAATAAATACTTTTTTTTTTTTTTCTGAGTACACTGTTTGCAAGAAGAGACTGTGGTTTTCCACAGAGAACAGAACAGCTTTAAAAATATGGAATGTGCAGCTCAGTGACCTTGTATTTATTTCTGTATCTATTTGAGACTTTTGTTTATTGTTTTGTTAGGATTTACATTTGTGTGGGAAGGATTTAAATGGTTGTGTTTGTTTAGATGACCTTGAGGAGGAGAGGATGACTGTTTTAACCTGTCCTCCTGTGCCCCTGAAGAATTTGGACCAATAGAAGTTATGATGGCTGAAGAAGGAGGACACTGATCAGGGTGACACTTTCCCTGGTTGAGAGGGGTGGAAATCAGCAGTGTGCATTGGGAGAACCTCTCTCTCATCTGATTGTCATCCACAGGGACCCTTTTCAACAAGAGCCCTTCTTCCCTCCTTGTTCAAGGGCTTTCTGAAATGTGGAAGCAGCCCTCCTCACCTTTCCAGGGCTTTATGTAGGTGTCATTCCCTGCACAGGGCATTAGCTCTGCAGGACAGATTGTCCTGCTGCCCATTAGTGCCTTTCCCAGCACAGCTGGGGTTCGTGTGACACCTCTCATCTCTCCAAGGGAAGGGCTTCTGCCTGCTCTCCTCGTTGAATGCTTTTTCAAACACCTCTTTCAAGAGGATGCTGATTTTTTTCCTTTGCAAATTATGCTCTCTGCCCATCCCTACAAACCAAATTCCTGCACCCTCACCACTGCCAAGATGACCTGCAATTTCTGTTTTCTGTTCATTATCACTATCTGTTATCTTTCTGTCTTGGGGATAATTTTTGTGGGTTCTTGATAGAGATGTCAAGCTGTCTTGGGCAGGGATGAGCCAGGAGTTTTGGTTATGAAGGGAAGTAAGTGTTAATTGGTTCTTTGAAGCTGACATGTAACAGAATAACTCTGGCTCTGTAAGCAGATTCCAGGGACAGACTGCCTTTCCTTTCTCCTGTGTGATCTTTGTCAAGAATTGTGTCCTGGCCACTGACTGGTGAACAATATACTCCTTGCAGGGAAGGACTTTAAAAGATGTGGCATTCAAAAGGTATCCTGTTACTAACAGAGAAATAAATAAAAGCAAGTCAGTGAGATGTTGTAAAGAACCTTATAAGCTCACAAAAAAACATGTTTGGCACAAGCAAATACAGGACTGAGTTTGGAAGGTTCATACCACAAATCAGTAGCACTATGGTACAGCCAGTGAAAATGAATGACCACTGCTCCAGTCTTACCGTCCTAGGAGCCCAGCAGGATTTCCTATGGTGAGGGATATGCTGTGTTTTTCAGCAATTCCCAACTCTCCCTGCCTTTTCCCAGCAACTGCCTTTACCACCAGCTCTTCTGGAGGAAAACAGGACCTTTAATAATAATCCCAGCTTAATGTTTGCACACTTTAGGCAGTTAGTGATAAAGGCCTGTCTTTCAAGGCTGTTTCTAACTTTGAGGCACAGTAGAGGTCAAAGGTATGCTCAGCAAAAGTCAGTAATGACTTAGAGATATGAAACGAAATTAACATCTCACAATATATACACCTAATCTAGAAGACACCACACAAAAGTGGAGCTTCTGCTACCAGGAGAAAACTTCTAGACCAATACAATCTTCCGTAGATAGCTGAAGACAATAGGCCAAGGCTGGCTGGCAGGCACCAGCCCTGAACTGGAAGCTCTGGGCTTGCACTGGCCAGATGCTGTGTCTCCCCAGCCCAAAACTCAGCCCAGCCAGCCCCTACTGAAGGCACCTTGGAGAACCAGGGTGAAGTGATCACATGTGACCCTGGATGAGCTGAACCCCCCTCTTCCATTTAGTGTTTCTTCTTTGTGATTTTTTAAAAATTGGTGTCTTAAGCACTTTAGCAGCTTGAGAAAGATCGCAAAGATCTTTTAAAGCTATGACTTTCCAAATAAATGTGAATAATATTTGACAGCTTCTTCAGTTTGTGGACAACAAAGACTTGTTTCCTCCTTTCAGATTATGCTTTGTTTTGCATGTGTTGCTCAAAAGATAATGTAAGTGATAAATTTTGGTAGGTAAAATGGCTAGGGACAGTGTCAGAAGTTTGAATACATTTATTTCTTAAAAATTTGCTTTGTAAAGGATGGCAGAAAAAAGCCTATGCATATGTTTTGACTTCAAATCTAGTAGTGCTAAGCAACTTCATGTGGAGTTTGTATTTGGTCATTGCTTTTGTGCTAACTCTTATCCCTAAAAGGGATTTTGTAAATTGAAAAATCCTTCCATCTCTGTGAGACTTTGTGTTGCCTCCTGAAGGTGTAGTGGGTGTGTAACATGGTGCATGACCAGTGGTCTGGTAATGGTGGGGTTACACTCTTGTGGGCGAGAGATGACAGATGAGGTGGTGGTACCAGAGGATGAGCTTCAGTGAGGGAGAGCCCCAAGCAAAACCAACTGCATGGAGCTCGATGCATGTGGGCATGCAGGCCACAGGACTGGCTGTTTGTTTAAAAAAAAGTTCTAAATTCATATGTGCCTGCTTAATATTTACAGGAAAGTCCTACAAGCTTCTCAGGAGGTACAGCAGTGTTCTCCTAAGATGCACGTGTTGACACTAAAATGGGCATTGTGACCCAGCTCACTCAGTGAGAGGCACCTCTTCAATGATGGCCTGAACCCTGTCAGCTATAATTGTCCTGCCTGTGTGTCCCCCAGAGGCACAGTGACAGAAGTGGGGTACACAAGAGACAAAGGGTCACCTTACCACCACCACAGGCACACAAACAATGTGACCTCAGAAAGCCAACTGTGGTTTTCCTGTTGGCAAAGAGGTTTCTTGGACCAACAAACATATGGAAGTGCTATTTTGGGTCAAATGTGCCACTGCCACCACATGTGCTGGGTTACTTTATCCAGTCTGTGCAAATGGTTACCAAAAAAAGTGGCAATTTTTATTGCCCCTGACAGTCTTGCGGAAGGAAAAGATCACAACTGGCACTGTTTGAAGTGTTATGAGGTGGGACTTCTGTGGCCCCTCAGGCATATTCAGGCATTTCTATCCAGCTTGGCAAGGAGCGCAGGGCCAATGCTTTCTCTGTCTATAAGCCAGGTATTAACTATGCCTTCAAGAGTTCACATCTGAAGAACTTAACAAATCAAAGTCCAAGCTGCAACACAGAATTTCTGTTGTCAGGGAAGAACTGTACAAATATCTTGGCTGGCTTAATGACCAAAGTGGATATATATGGAAAATATGCAGGAGGGTATTTGTGCTCAGTGGATCCCTCTGACCAGACAGGTGGGTGGTGCGTGCTTTATCAGAGCTGCTCCTGCTCAGGAAGGCAATGCCCTCAGATGATTTCATCTCCCAGAATCAGACTCCAGATGTAGAAGCTTCAGAAATCACCCTGCTACCTAACTATGCTTAATAGTTCTCATCTCCCTTTATGGCACTGGGAGAAAAAAAAACAAACCAAACCAAAACTCCTAGGATACAACACATCCCTTCTGCATGTGCAAGCTTATAAAAAAATAAAGTAAATTTTAAAATGACATGCAGTTTGGCTTGTCTGGGAGTGGGGAAAATGGACAGGACAAATCCCACCCCAGGAAGAAGCTGTTACTTGGAACAGCCTCAGCACACCCTGGGGATGCCAGAAGGACCCTGTGCAGAGCTGGGGGTCTCCAGATGCCTGTGGGGAGCTCCCTGCTTTATCTGCCAGAGAGGCAGGATGTGAGCAGGAGTTCATAGTCAGCAATTGTTTCACTTTGGCAAGTATCAGTCAAGCTTTCCCTGGAAATAATTTTGAAATGTATAAGCTTACACTCCCTATAACCACATGTGTACATCATCTTCTTTTAGAGGAGAAAAATTTACATCTAACAATTTTGTAGTCGGATAATGCTATACAAAGAAATAAAGGTACTATGGGTACACAATTTTAAAATATGTAGATGCATTGTCACTATTTGTGGTACCTATTAATAGCTATTTTATTTTCTTTACTAGGGACTAACTTCAGGGTGAGGCTGTTTTTTTATTCACTGTTTTATATCTTTGATACAACATTTATACCTTTGCAACACATGTATTTCCATGATGATAAAAAATATGAAAACACGAAGCAAATGTGTTTCCTTCCTTTTTTTTCCCCATCCCATGTATTTAATGCTATCAGATATACCTAATAAAATGTCACAGGCATATAAGACATGTACTATGAAATTCTTCTTTGGTTTGTAGCATCAAATTGGTAATAGGTTCAGACAACTCATAGAAAATAAAAGGTATTCTCATTTCTTCATATGTTAGAAGTAGAACATCTTGAAAATGATGACCTTAAAAGAAAATGTCATTGCAGAGCTAAAAAAAATTTAAAATACAAGTGTCCAGTTACAGTTAAGGTTGGAATTTTCAACATGTATTTCAGAGGTGGGTAAGTCTATTGTCAGACATAGCAAACAAACTATAGAACATATAGAAAGAGGGTAACAGACTGGCAGCTGGGCTTCTTGGCAACGACTACTAATTTATAGCAATTTAATATGGATGATCATATTTGTTTTGCTTTCTTATGAATGATTGTAGCTTTAATATTGCACTTGGAATCTTGTATTTCTGCCGTGCATGCTGCTTTCCAGGAGAGGGCAGTCCATACCCAGGATCAGTTGTTTTCCATCACACTTTTAATCCAAGGAATATAGTTGGAGACTCGAACATAAACACCAGGTTTCATGGGTTGGGCACAGCCAAGGCCCCAAGAGGTGACTCCATGTTGGACAAATTTATCTTGATCCAGACATACCAGAGGTCCTCCACTGTCCCCCTAAACAACAAAAGAACAGGATGATTCCTTCTTGGACAGACCCATGCGGCCCTCCCACAGGAGGCACAGAAATAGAAGTACTTCCAACACAGGAATTATAAAGAAACATTGGAATTCTAGCAAGGTAAGAGTTCTCTATGAATGTTGTTGAACACTTTTATAATAAAAGCCCTCTTTATGTCACCTAGGCATTACATTCAATTCTGAAGTAAGGGGATTTATTGAAAAATAATCTGATCACCCTTGTTAACTTAAACTGTGCTTCCTCCCTCAGTCTCTTTTCTGAGGTCTTCATGGGTTTCTGTTGTTACTAGATGATCCAATGGCACTGATACTTGGAAGTTCATAGTTCCTTTGGCCCTTGCTTAGCCTGCATGGCAGGCTCCACTGCATCCTTCCTCGACTGCTAACTGAGATGCTGTTAACCGAGCTAGCTTGGACACTGGACGTAATCTGGTTGAGGCTAGCAAGGGGGCCTGGGGAAAGAAAACCAGACCTTTTGTCATTCTAAGTTGGCTTCCACACACCTGACTTGTGCAGCTGTGTGTTACCACGTGCTCTGGAGTTCAGGCTCATCTGAAAAATTGCCCCACTTCCCAGCAGCAGACAAGGGAGCAAGGAAAGAGAATACATGGGCATTTTTCAGCTCAGATACATGTGGTGTGGTAACATCCTGAGGATAATTCTGGGCCTCTAAAGCCCAAAAAAGCAATGCCCTATTTGATCTGAATGTGCTTACAACTGACTCTCATGCTGACAGACTTTCTTACCTGGCAGGTATCTGTGCCACCATGAATATTCCCAGCACAGAGTTCGTGCTTTTTAACTCTACCATTCAAAAATTCAGGGCGGTTGCATATTTTATTCTCGATTACAGGAAAGCCAGTTTCCTTTAAGTAGCCCCCACCAGAAGTACCTTTGCAAATAAAAATTAAATGAAAAAAGAATGAATGACAAAGGTAATTATCATATTCACAACACACAAATATCAGGATATGGATAAGCAGTAAAATCAGCATAGTGTGCACTGTGTATACACTTCCCAGGCCCAATATGAAGATATATCAAAATCAGTAAGCATTATCAGGATTATGGTATACTTATCACCTTCTACCACCCACTATTGACCTTCCTGTTCTCATAATACATCCATGTGGGTCCAGTACCCACAGATACTTGGGAGTCATTCCCAAGCCATTTTATTTCTCTATATCTGAATTTTGTGTGGAAGAAATTAGGTAGGAAGCAAACAGTAGAAAATGGCATGATGGGCAAGGAGGCAGAGAAGGTACCAATGCACTTTTGAACCAAGACAGAGTGAGAGGTTTTGAAAATGAGGGTTTTATTTGTGTGAGATGAGAACCAGCCTGGCTGGGAGGAAGAATCACTCAGGAGAATGAGAAAAGTCACATTTATGTGATTAAGAAATAATTTAAATCTGGAAAAAACTTTCCACCCAATTGGGCAAAAGCCCGCTTTGGGGAAAAGCATATGGACTGAGAGAGAAGTGACTCCTTAGCTCTGCTTCTCCTCTTGCAGCATCTATTTAGAGGGTTTCAGTTTACATGGCATTGAACAATTTAGGAGAATCTGTCAGAGAGAGACAGTGGGAAATTTGGCAGCACCTGATGAATTTTGATGAACAACTTTTTCATCAATAGCTTGTGTGGGACACAAGAGCAGGCACACTTTGGATACAAGTATATACCAGTCTGCAAACATGGAGCTTTTAAATGTGTTAATGCTGTCTCACCTTTTGTGTCTCCCCAGCCCGTCACATAACACTCCTCTCTTCCTCCTAACACAGAGTTTTCTTTTGGTAAACAAACTGGGATTACATGATTATTAATGACAGCTGGTCTGAAATGAACAAAGGGAAAAATCTTTAGCACAATTATACTTAATACTAGGTTCTAATTCAGGATTCTAAGAAGGTTTTATATATATTTATCCTTTTATAATTTAAATCCTTAGTTTCAGTTGAGTTTTTTTTTCTGACATGCATAATTGCTTTTTAGGCTCTAAACCCACAGAAAGTGATACACACGAGAAAAGTCTGAAATGGATAATGACATAAGAAGAACCAACAATAATCCAGGAGAATGCTTTGACTTAGGCTAATACACAGCAAACCGAACTTAATCA